GTCTTTTTCCTCGTGACCCACTTTGCAGACAATTGCGCGGCAAAACTAACAGCGCTGACCCTGTGTTTAGACTGCAGGCCAGCGGGCATGCAGCGTTTTATTTAGACTACCTCACGCTGCAGGGGAAAACTCTGGCAGCCCTGCATAGTTATTACCATGTGATGGTTGGTTCTTCGATGGTGACCTGTGGTAATTTTCCCATGACACTGAAGAGAAGGGTGGGAGCTGAACTACATATTGTGTGTGTGTGTGTGTGTCTCAGTGGCTCGGACCAGGGCTGCTGCCTGCGCTCGCTCTACATCGACTTCAGGCGTGACCTCAACTGGAAGTGGATCCACGAGCCAAAAGGTTACAAAGCCAACTTCTGTGCCGGCAACTGTCCTTACCTCTGGAGCGCCAACAACCACTACAACATGGTGAGCCTCAGGGGTCAAAAGGTCACCTGGCTACTAACCAAATCTGTTTAATCTTTGTTGTTCTTTCTTATAAATTTTGCCATAAAGACTTTTAATAATCAATAATTGTGGTTAGTTAACAGCTGACATTTGACATGTTTTGCTTTTGCTAAGAAAAAATGTCTTTATGTCCGTTAAATTATGGATAATAATTGGATAATAAGATCAGTATATGTGCAGGTAATCTCTGTGAACCAAAATATAGGGGGTACTCCTAATATACAGCTATGGATGTAAGCACAGAAGCCCCACCCACCTGCAGTTTAAAGCTTCTGTTTGCAAGGGACAGCCAATCAGAAGAAAGCTGGGTTAAAGTGGTGGTTCTCAAACTGTGGGACAGGCCACACCCGGGGGCACAGAGCCACTGCAGGTGGGATTGTTATTTTCAACTCGCATTTTTATTTATTGTTAATGATTAATGAAAAACAATGTGGGTGTGTGGAGTGAAGTTAAAGAGGCGCATGCCAGGAAAAGTTTGAGAACCACTGGCTTAAAGGGAGAACAGCAAAAACAGCTGGGAGCGGCTGCACCGAGGCCCAGTATGAGGTAAATAAGGATTATTTTGAAGTGGGAATCATGCAAAGCTACACTAGTGCATAGTAGCTGGAATTAAACTTAATCTGTGCCCTTAATAGAACAGAATTGGTATAGGCAGTTTTTGGGCTTGTTACTAATTAGCCGATTCCATGTGTGGATACCTCGATATTAGCAGCTTCCCATATCTCATGAGATCCTAGTTCAGACTAATAACTTAGATTACCTTCTCCAGTAGGACAAATGTGTTCTTTTTTTCAACATATATTTCTTTCCAATTTGGAGATTCATGACCTTTAGTGCTGAATATTTTGAATGGAAACAGTGACAGACTTCTCGCTGCTGAGACACGGCCAAATTATATAAACAGAAAACATCTGTGATTGTCAGAAAAATCTGAGCAGCTCCTCCTCAGCCCGTCTGCTAAAACACTCTGGTTTGGACCGAACTCCAATCAACGCTCGGCTTGACGTTAACGTACAGAAAGTCTGAAATGCAGGCGACATTTTCCCGTAAGTGAGCCCTGAGCGCGCTGTTTGCGGCAGCTAAACACCACTGGTTAACCCCAGCATCATAAATGGGCTGACACCTCACAGAAGCCTGTTAAAGAGCGCACAGGTTTATGCAACCCAGCTGGCCCGTCTCACTCAGCGAAGGGCTTGGCCTGTAGCCTCACTGACTCTCACCTTTCTTGTACTTCACTTTAATATAGATGTGTAGAATTTCACATTTATTTTAACTTAAGTTTGCAGCAATTACACATTTTGCTGCTGTCAAAATGTGGCTTTAGTTTAAGGCAGTTTGGCTGCTTTTGCTGTGCATGTATTTTGGAGAAACTGACAGGATGTACTTAAAGAAGTCAAAGTTGATTTGATTGCTATAGATTTACTTAGACCTCCCCCACATAAAATGCACAGAAAGCTACATTTTAACGTCTGAATATTAAGATTTAAAGCTAAAAAACGGACCTGGTAGGAATTAAACTTGAAAAGTTGGATAAGTGAGGGAAATGTAGAGACTCTGGAAAACAACCATTAAAAGTTATTTTTTAAACTGGAATAAAACAGGAAGTTTTGAATTATCTTGATTTAGCTTTATACGTGCTGTTTATATCATTTTTACCAGTAAACAGAATCAGTCAACCTTTTGTTATGTTTAGCTAAACTAACCAGATGCTGATATTAGGAGTGCCATTGAACCTCTCATCTAACTCTAAATAAGCAAATTTCCCAAAATGTCAAACTAACATTTCAGATTTGCCAACACATTTTTAAAAAGTACCAAAATAATCATGCAAAATGACGACAGACTGTATTTAAAAGATAGAGGTAGCCACTGGGACATTTGAAGCTTTGGGTTTAGCATTATGGCCACCACAATCTTTAACCCGAGTGTTAGTCGCTTATGCCAGCAAACATCATTTAAGTGCATTCAAAGACTGTATGGGTGCACTCAGACACAGATACTAGAGAGATGCTAATTGGCGCTAAAAAAATAATAGTGTTGTAGAATTTTACTCCCTAAAACTGGAGCACAAACTTATTACTCTTATTAGACTCATATTATTTGTCAGTTATTTGCATTAAAAATGCTCCAAAAGGCACCAACACCTCAAACACCAACTCAAGTTAGCAGAGGTAAGGCCAAGTAGGCACTAACTGGTCACTCAGACCTGTAACTGCAATCCTTAATACAATGAAACAGGTCAGTTATGAGAAAAAAAAATCATGTCCGCACAGATGTTAAAAAAGGTAAATTATTTAAAGAGACCTAAACAGCTTTTTAAGCATGAGAGTCTGTGGGGATTGGCTCGTTTGTGGCCATTAGATGGACTGCCGTTTCTGGCACTTACCACATTGGCTTCATTTTTCAGGCCTGCTTAAACTTGGGCTGAACTTCACACTTTTCAGCATGTTCATTCATCACTCACAGCACTAAAC